CGGTAAAAATCAATTTTCGTTGTTTATGTTTTGACTTGTTGAATGACGTTTTACAAATGAGTGACAAATAAAGATTTTTAACCATCTGCTAAATGGCATTAAAACAGCACAAACGCTGATGCACTTTAAAGAAGTCAGTTGTGTCACTTCCTGAATGTATGGCGTTTTATAATTTGATTGAGTATTTTGATAGCAACTGGGAGTAACCCAGTACTAATTGTTAATTTTGAATGTGTTCTATTTTATTGTACATATTTGAATTACATATTGCATAAGTATGTACATTTGCTTTTGGTGACTTTTTTTATCTTTTAGGATGATTTTAACTATTGTGATTATTGTTTGTGTTTAATTCTTGTATTTATTTCAATTAATTTTTCCTTCCCATAGGTACTTTGTCAACAAATACTTAGTATTTATGATAATAAAGTATGTTTTGAATTTGAAAAAAAAAAAAAAAAACAATGCCTACTTAATATCATCTTTAATTTTTTGTACTGCCTGTAATTTACTTCTTGCCTGTCTTAGAAGATTTTTGTATCTCAAGGCCTTGTTTCTCTCCCTAACATAATATTTCTCGTATCTGTTTAATTTTGCTTGCAGTTCAGTTATTATGTCTTTGCTTTTGTTTATTTCCAGCAATAATGCAGCCGTTTTTTCTTCGCTTGGAAGAGATGTGGTGGATGACTTCTGAGTTGCTGGTAAATCTACTTCCGAATCTGCACTTGATGCATAAAGGCATTCTACAGGAGGTAGTAAAACTAAGGCTTCATCTGTAAAAAACATTGAGGTCAAAAAACTTATATATATAGGTGAAATGATAGGTACTATGCAAAGTAGGTATGCCATAACCAAAATGGAATAATAAAATGTGACAAAAGTAATGCACACAAAGTTATTACCAGATGAAAGTTCAGGCTTTTTTGGAGAAAGTGGGTACATTTGAACTGGAGATTTTCTTCTAGTTTTCGTTCTCACTTCTGCAGAAGAAAAAATTGTCGGAATAGCACTGGCCTTTAAAATTCTTTTACCATCTACACGAGGCTTTTCCCACATTTCAGGAGCAAAATGAACCTTGGATAAAAAACAATATCAGTAAAAACAGAACACAGTGTGTCCGCAGGACGCAAGTGAAAACAAAAATATGTGAAAAAAGTTCTAGTTTTACCTACTTCACATAAACATGAATGGTCTGTTGGTTGCCAATCGTTGCCTCTCTTCACATTCATAGCCCAAGTTTCTCTTCTCAATGGGTCTTTAGGAAAGCGTTTCATTAAAAAACCCTTTTTTCCAGAATTATTGCATCCTAATGCAGCGCAACTTGGCATTTCAAAAATTTAGCTTGTTCCGTGTTCCTCCTTAAAAAAAATCAGAAAACTTTATACATATGATAATTGGGGCTTGGTTGACAAAGTAACAAGTAACGGTAGTTAATTCCAATTCAACAAAAAAAATGCATAAAATTCGATACAAAAATAATCGCAGGATAACGAAAAACATAAACAAAACATCAATAATTTTGGAATGGATAATGGATGTTTTGTATATATCGATATATATAACTCAAATATATCGATATATTTTAATCGATATTTTAAATTCGATATATCGTGTCGTGTGCGTGCCAAAAAGATCCGAGGGAAATGGACGGCATTACCCAACGGGCAGAAAGAAAAACATTTTTTTCTATTAACGTCACTAAAAGTGTCATTTTTAACGGATGCTGTCAGTGTCTAAAATGCCATTTTATGACACTGGTGTTAAATGTGATTACTTTTAGCAAGTTCAAAGGGATGGAACACTCCGCCTTTGGCGTCGTGTCCCAAACTTCCCTTTTCATAAAATAAAATGTCACTTTTAGCACTTAAGTATATCATAAATAACTATTCCTACTCGCGTGCGGTAAAGTACACTTTACCGCACTCGTTTGCGTGCCGTAGGTAGAACTTTAACGCACTCTTTTAAGAAAACGTTTGTATGGACCTTTTTCATGTAATGAACAACAAGGATAGTTTATTAGAATTTCTGCAATAAAGAAAGAGACACAAATAATGACGCGCGATACCTGTGTGGAATGACAAGTTTGAGAAGTACGAATTTGCAAGTGCTAGCAAACCTTTAATTGTACAATTATCATTGTATTTGATATAGAAATCGTTAATACGAACCCTCAAATCTCTGTTCCAACTTTAATCGTCTTCAGTCAGGTTGAGATCACGTAACCATTGTTTTCTTACATTTTGATTGGTTGAAAACTTGTGAAAAGAAAGATTTGACTTTTTTTCCGCCTCACTCTGACAAGATCGTACACAACACATTTGAACCATTATATAATAAACAGTTTTTCTAATTTTTTCAGCAATATTGATTGATAATTGAGGTTAGCTTAAAGAAAGTCAGCATCAGACCCCGTTCATTCAATTGACAATTTTATTATCTGTCACCCACAAGCGGCGCGCGCAGCACAGGTGAAATGAGAAAGTTCCATTGTTCATATTCTTTATTGTGCCGGTCCTGGGATTTTTGTGGAATCAAAGAGCCGACTGCTGCATTCGCTGCTTCGAATATTTCTTCATCGAAGGTCTCCATCTCTCAAGAATTTATGTTATACCGAAAAATGGAAAATTTGAACCACAAAACACGAATCTATGTTCATACCAAATAAACTTGTTGTTGTGACATCGATGACGCCATTTTTAAAATCGTTATCGCCAACCGTGAAAATATTCGGCGTCGGATTGAGTTAATTGGAATTTGAATTTCCCGCTGGCCATTCAGTTGGTAACACCACTTCAAAAAATGTAACGTTGCCAAATTAAATTCTTGACATTTTGAATTTTAATTGCGTTTTGGCAGTTTACGAGATTTTGGTTTGTGCTATTATTTGTGAGCTTGTTTTTTTAAAGCAGCTTGTAGTGCGAAGTGTACAAGATGCCGAAGCAGCTTAACAGCCGTTGCAAAGAACTAATCGCATCCTTGTTACAATATTTTGAACGAGAACGCGATGCGATAATTATGGCCCTTTATGTCCCTTAAATGCTGTTAGGAAGGTGAGTTTATTTCGTGGACCAAGGACCAACTAGGAATTTTCAATTTGAACTTTATTAGGTCTGTCCACTGTCTGTGCTATTTCAAAGGCAGTCAAAAATAACGAAGTTTTGGAATCGCCTTCTGAGAAACGATGTACTTCGAAGAGAGTCTGTGATGTTACAAAGCTCGATAGCAGTGCTATACGTAACACTAGTTACGTTATGTATACAAAAAGTAAATCGCTTGAGATAAAGGTACATAGATATCTATGAATCGCATTCTTTCTTCTTGTAGGACAACATGTAACATTATCCTGTATATGGGAGCAATTGAAAGCCAAACAGTTATTTGATGGCAGTCCCATGTAATTGAGTAGAATGTTAAAAGAAATAGGCTTCAAATGGAAAAAAATATGACCCAAGACGAGGGCTCATGGAACTTCCTGATATTGCTGTTAACCGCATATCATTTTTGAGGTCTTATCTAAGACTGAAACAGGAGGCTTTGTACCAGTTTGTTTTCTTGGACAAGACTTGGATTTTTCAAAACGGTACTTTTAACCGCTCATGGCAACACAACAACAAGCGAAGAGTTAAAACTACGAAAGTTGGTGGTGAAAGGTGAATATAAACATGAATACAGAGAGCTGTTCTATTATATGTACAAAGAAATGCTTTTTTTAGATATATCATACTTCATGCTAGCACCGAAAATGGATTCATTGAAGGTGCATCGCTCGTATTTTCATCGAAAACTCAACTTAACGACTATCATGGAGAAATGAATCAGCAAAACTTTTTACGTTGGTTCGAAAATCAGCTGTTGAAGAACTTGAGGTGTGAACCGTGAACCATCTGTCATTGTTATAAACAATGCTCCTTACTACAGAATGTTATTAAGAAGACACCTAATAGTTCGTCTACCAAGGCTGAAATTCAAAATTGGCTAACCGAACAGAAAGTTGAGTATCCAAATACAGCATTGAAATCTGAACTTGTGACCATTGTTGCACGGTAAGTAAGTAGGTACCTACAATACCAAAATTGTTTGCATTTTATGCTCAACTTCTGAACTTCTCAAGTATTGCTTTTTTCAGGAATAATACAACAAAAAAGTATGTGGTAGATGACTTAATAACCAACATATTGGCAGAGATGGTTATACTCAAGATGCTTGTTTAAAAATGTGGCGAGAGGCACTGGGAACTGTTACCCCTGAAATGTGGAAAAATTCTATCAGACATACAGATGGAATAATTGACAAGTGGTATAACAGGGAACAAGTAATGGATAGGCAAGAGGTTCTTCCACTTATTATGAATATTGATGAAGAATCTAGCGATTCTAGCGATTTCAGTGATCCAGAATAATTGAAAATATTCTTGATGGTTCAAATATTCATATAAAATTTAATTATTTATAGTATTCAGATTGGCTGTAAATAAAATATGTACTGAGCGTTATTATTATATTTTATGTGATGATTGACAAATGGGTTGTTATTAAATATCTATTAAACCCAGCTTTGAAACATTGTTTATAATTTAAGTAATAAATTTTTGCATTATATTATAGTATAATCCATTATTGTTTCTGAAAATATTTTGACAAAAGGAAAATATGCAAGAGACGGCAACGCTGTGCCGGCCGAGCTTGACAACCCGACTATAAGTTTATTTGGTATGAACTATATTTGAACTTTCCATGTGGTATCTATAGACGCAAATTATAATATTGATTTGTTGCTATGGGAAAAACAAAATGCATCGTAGCAGATTTAACAAATGCCACCAAGACAGACTTTTAACCAAATTCTTGTCATAAAAATTTTGAGTGCGGTATAGATTCTTTAACGCACTGAGTGCGGTAAAAATCCTTTACCGCACTGTACCAAAAATTTTAAAAAAACATGCAATTAATGCATTTGCCTTCGCGTAATGGCCGTAATGCATGAAATAGAAACATTTTAGTTCGACCTCCAGTCCTTCGATATCAATACTATTTTACCACGTAGTAGACATTTGTCGCCTGTATTACCCACTAAGTTTAAAGAAGCCGGTCCTGTCCACTCCTGCTCTTCGCTGCCGTTGGCCATCTCCATCCGCCATCGCGTCATTCGACATTTAGTGCTTGTATCGTGCAGAGCGTTCTGGTTTTTTCAAGCTTTGGCTGTCACACGTAAGTAAATTTGATTGTAATATTTACTTTCCAGCCATGAAAAAACATAAGAAAAGAGACCGGTCATCAAGTAGTGATGACGAGCTATCGAAAAAAGAATTACTAAGAAGAATTCATAAGTTGGAACGATCCCAAGAAAGACGAAGGTCACGTTCCCCTACATACTCTAGTAAGCGCCATCGGCGTTCGGAGTCGAGCGTGCGTTCTCGCTCTCGCCGACTGGAATCAGGTGACCGACGCAGGCTAACTCGCTCTCCCACACAGACGCGAAAGGTCGATTCTTCCCCGTCGCGCCATCGACAGCGCTCATGGGTGGAGCGGGGAGAGCTTTCCAGCTGTTCCTGCGATAGAAGTCGATTCTCTAGTCGATCCGTCGAGACTGTCGAGAGCACAGGGACGCATTCAGCCCGTCGGCGCCGAAGTTTTTCTGCAGAGCGATACTCGTACGTATCGACGAATGCAGACGCAACCAACAATGAGGGATTCAACTTGCATGTTGAAAACCTTGTACGACCAAACAGTCCAGACAATATTACAGCAGAAGGAGGCCATTCTCCGTCACTAATAATAAATAATGACGTTGAGCTAGGCGACGATTTTTTGGCCATTTTAGGAAGCGATCCAAAGGAATGTGGAAAGTCAACTTTCCAACTTCATAAGGCCATATCCTCGCGATGGGATCATATATTGTCTAATGGCTTATCGGACGAGGACAAACGGGTTTTAAATGACCGTCACAAAATACCAGAGAATTTACCCTTGTTAGTGCCACCTGAGGTTAACGCTGAAATATTGGCAATTATGTCAGCGCTTCATAAAAAGAGAGATTCTGGTTACTCGGCAATTCAAAATCAGATTTCTCATGCTCTTTCAGCTCTTGGACAGGGCCTTAAAATAATTCTTGAAGAGGGCAATAATTTTCCCAAGGAATTAAAGGAAAATTTGATGACTCCTCTTTGGGATTCAGGTAAAATTTTAACCAATTTATTTTTTAGCCTATCGCAAACTAGACGTACCTTGATTTCTCAAACTGTAAACAGACAGGTGAAAGATATTATAGAAAAATCTGTTCCTGACACCTCCTTGTTTGGTTTGGATTTCGGGGAAAAAATTAAATCTGCCCGAATGCTGGAAAAGACAAGTAAGGACTTGCTGGCAACACCTGCCTTCACTAGAGTACCGAGTACCTCAACCAGCACTAATAAAAATTATACTAGTGGCGAAAGAAGAGGAGGGAGGAGATCAATTCCGGAAAACCGATATCGCCCAGGTCGTCCAGGGAGGGGGACGAAACCTTACAAGGGCCAACATTCCTCGAGACACGAGAAGTTCTATTCCAGGAAAAACAAGTAATTCCGGTAAGTAAAATACCAGCTGGAAGGTTACAGTACTTTGTTGACAGTTGGAAACAAATTACTTCAAATAATATTATTTTATCATGGGTAAAAGGTTTTGAAATACCCTTTCAATTCATACCTCCAGCTTCAGAAAGTTTTTCCTATGCAAAAATACTGTCTCATAGGGATACTAAGGAAATGTTAGAGTGCATCAAGGATCTTTTAAGTACGGGCGCTGTATCGAGATGTAAGAACGAATCTGTACAATTCGTCTCAAGCATATTTCTTGTAGATAAACCTAACGGTAGTAAAAGATTTATACTTAACCTTAAAAGATTAAACAGATATGTCGAGGTACCTCATTTTAAAATGGAGGACTATCGAACAGTTTCTCGTCTTATTCGTCCTAATGTATATATGTCAACAATTGATCTAAAGGACGCATATTTTATGATTTCAGTAGCAAAATCTCATAGAAAATATTTAAGATTTTATTTCCAGGAAAATCTGTACGAATTTAACGTTTTACCGTTTGGATTGTCATGCGCTCCATATATTTTTACTAAACTCCTTAAACCGGTTATAACCAAGTTAAGGACTGAAGGTATTTGCTGCGTTAGTTACCTGGATGATTTGATAATATTGGCTGATTCTGAACAACAGTGTCTTCTTAATACAGTCACTGTACTAAATTGTTTGCAGAACTTAGGTTTCATTATAAACAGGGAAAAAAGTTCATTAAGTCCTTCTAAACGACAGAAATTTTTAGGTTTTATTTTCAACTCAGAAAATATGACCCTAGGTCTAACGACAGAGAAGCGCGTAAAAATAAAAGAATCAATAGGTCATTTTAAAAGTTCTCATTCATGCAAAATTAGACACTGGGCTCAATTCATAGGTCTGTTGATTTCGGCTTGCCCAGCGGTCAAGTATGGTTGGTTATATACCAAGTCATTTGAAAGAGAGAAAATTAAATACCTTCGTGAAAATAATATGAGTTATGAGGCTATAATGATCCTATCATCTGATATCAAATCTGATTTGTTATGGTGGGACACTCACATTCTCATTTCTTCCAATGACATAAGACAGGACACTTTTAAGATAGAAATATTTACTGATGCTTGCTTAACCGGCTGGGGTGCATGCACAAAGGAACTCTCTACGTATGGTTGGTGGTCTGAAACAGACCAAAACAACCATATTAACTATTTAGAATTGAAAGCTATATTTTTCGGGTTAAGATGTTTTGCAAAGGAGCTTACCAACTGTAATGTATTAATACGCACTGATAATACTACTGCCCTATCATACATAAATAGAATGGGCAGTGTCCAACATAGAAATTTAGACAATTTAGCCCGAGAAATATGGCAGTGGTGCGAGTTAAAAAATACATTTTTATTTGCATCATATATTACCTCTCAAGATAACTGGAAAGCTGACAAAGCATCAAGAATGTTACCAACAGAAACTGAATGGGCTTTGGCTAACTATGCTTTTCAACGCATAGTGAAGGAGTGGGGTACCTTTGAAATAGACCTTTTTGCGTCAAACATTAACGCCAAGTGTGAGAAATATGTATCCTACTTACCAGACCCAAATGCAGTTGCGGTTGATGCTTTTACCATTAATTGGAGTACCTTTTATTTTTATATATTTCCTCCTTTTAGTGTAATTTTGAGAGTTATTCAAAAAATTATCGATGAAAAAGCGCAAGGCATCGTAGTAGTTCCTTGGTGGCCGTCCCAGTCATGGTTTCCTCTTTTCATGAAGATTAAGATAGGCGATTACCTGTTATTTAAGCCTGATCCTAATTTGCTTACTTCACCTTTTAGCTCACAACACAAGATGGCGAAGAACCTTACCCTGGTTGCAGCAAAATTATCTGGAATGCATTACTGCTGAAAAATTACCCAGAAAATACATTACGAACCGTACTTCAATCATTATCAGCTGGAACGCTTAAACAGTACAATTCCACCTATAAACTTTGGTGGGGTTTTTGCCAAAAACATTATCTTTCTGTTTACAAATCCGGGGTAAGTGAAGTTCTACAGTTTCTTCAAAATCTGTTGGACAGCCGGACTATACAATACGGCACCTTTAATGCACACAGATCTGCGCTATCCTTAATTTTGTCAACAGATATAGCTAATGATTTTCGGGTTAAGAGATTCTTGAAGGGGGTAAGTAACATTAGGCCTACTGCTCCCAGATACAATCATATATGGGATACTCGGCCAGTCATAGCCCACCTCAAGAACATGTTTCCAAATAATGGATTAACTTTAAGAGATTTGTCCATCAAGCTTGCTTCGTTTTTAGTCTTAGTTACTGGTCAGCGAGTACAGACCATATCCCTCATAAAAATTGAAAATATAACCAATTCAGTAGGAGGCTATCAAATTTTTATCTCAGATAAAATTAAGACTTCAGGCCCTGGCAAGCTTCAACCTTGTTTACATGTACCTTTTTTTACAGAAGATCCATCTTTATGTGTTGGATCAGTTTTAAAATTTTACCTAGAAGCTACGGCAAAAATAAGGAAACCAGACCAACAAAATTTGTTTTTAGTTACTCGACCACCTTACAAGTGCGCATCGAAACAAACAATTAGCAAATGGGTCAAAGAATTATTGGCGCGTGCCGGCGTTAATACAGAAGAGTTTCGCGCCCATTCTACTAGACATGCGTCTACGTCAGCCGCGAGAAGAAAAGGAATTTCTTTGGATCTCATTCGCCAGACTGCAGGCTGGTCAGAAGATTCCTCTACGTTTGCAAGATTTTATAATCGTCCTGTTATAGATTCATTTGCTTTTGCAAAATCTGTACTTAGCTTGTAGTTTTCATGTTTCATGTGGTATTTGGTTTAGAATATGTTTGAGTTACTTTTGATATATATGTCTTACTTATAATACAATATATTTTCCTTATCTTTGCAACTTGTCTTTGAACATCTACGTGGTAAAATAGTATTGATATCGAAGGACTGGAGGTCGAACTAAAATTATTAGATCAAACGAACTTACCAGTGAAGTTCGATCCTAATTTTAGGAGACCTCCAGTCCGAAGATATCAATTCCCTCCCATCCCAATATTTTTCAGTTTCCCCAGAGGTGTTGCAAAGATTATAATTTAAACAAAATGACGCGATGGCGGATGGAGATGGCCAACGGCAGCGAAGAGCAGGAGTGGACAGGACCGGCTTCTTTAAACTTAGTGGGTAATACAGGCGACAAATGTCTACTACGTGGTAAAATAGTATTGATATCTTCGGACTGGAGGTCTCCTAAAATTAGGATCGAACTTCACTGGTAAGTTCGTTTGATCTAATAATTTATTGTTTTTAACAATCAATGTTTGCTATTTTTTATGCATTTTTTCTTCCACTAGGATTTTAATTCCAAAAATTATGTGCTCCGAAGGAAAAATTTTGTACCTAACAAGTGCGGAAAGTGGTCCTTTACCGCACGCGACGGCAGTTGCACGAACGACGCGAAGCGGAGTTCGGGCAAGCTGTCGAGGTAAATAACTATTTCGCAAGCTCTTAGAAAAAGATAGTAGTTTGTTTCTTCCGTTCCAAGTGTAAGACTCTATCCAAAGTTATTAATCAATTCAAGACTAACTTCCTTACCTTACCCCCTTTTGTTAACCTCCCGTATGAACGTGAATACCTAGAGCGAAATGGCAGAAAATTGAAGGTTTTCTTTGCAAAATAAACAAAAGGCTTCTTCACCAAGGTGCTTCTGAGTTCTGGGAATTGGCAGTGGAATGGAATATTATTAGCTTGCCTAGTGGAATAGTGCCGCCTTATTACCGAAGAAAGTTGTTCATAGTATTTCCCCGAAGCGATAAGAACCGCCCGCGATATTAAGGTCTTTTTTCCCAGAAATGGGAGAGCACTACTTCTCGGGGACCTTAATGCCAGGCTCACAACTTGGCTTAACCACACGAACAATAGGACAGGTAGAATACTCTCCAAGTTTTTTAGCGTCAACCCGGGGTGCGTTCAAGGAAGGCAATGCTAAGGCCAAAACCTGCTTTTCCCCCTCCACCTGTAATGCCGAACCACGTAGGTTGGAGCCGAACTCGAACGCAAAATGCCAATTTTGGCTTGGCTGTAGCCATTTCTGAACGCAGCCCCGGACATATCACTACACTACCAGGCCAATCTGATTTTTGTCATTACCCGCGGAAGATTTCAAAAAAACCCGTTTTTACTTTACCACTGATCTCATGAAAATATCATCAATTTGGCTTGCTGTCAAAAAACCCTGACCTAGCAAATACCTAGGATGTTCATTCACATTTGTACTTGCTCTACCTGCTAGAAAAATCAAATATCTGCTTGGAGCTGCTGCTATTCTGCTCGGGGGACAAGTGAACGCCATCTGTGCTGAGATCTGCTTGGAGCAAGAAAAGCAGGAGAAATGTCAACTGTCAACTCAACTCAAAGTCGAACTGTTTACTCAATACTTATTTTGCAAATACCCGGTTTTACCCGCACTAAATATTTTACCCGCCGAACAGGTTGAAAAACCTAAATTTCGGGTAATTACCCGCAAATCGGCAACACTGTACACTACCCAAATAACCCCACGCACTATCCGCTTAACGGACTGAACCCCTCCACGATAGATATTATCGCTCTCTCGAGGGGCTTCAGAGACTTGACTATCAAGACTAAAAACATTCTAAACTCGGACCACATACCGCTCTTCCTGTAGATACTGGAAAAATCCTGGCCATTTTCGATGTTTTAATAGGCTATATCGAAAACTAGCAGAGATATCAATAATCTGGGAGCACATTCTCGAGCTCAAAGAAAATAACAATGGCGAAGACAAATCACGACTAACTTGATGCGTTTAGGAAATACTTTTCAGATTTTGTCCAATTTTTAATAACTCTCTTATTTCCTTATTATTCAAGATATCCAAAAACGAAAAATACTTTCTATATGCAGTTTTTTAAGGAGAATCCAGTGGCATAGCCAATTTTTCTCCAGATGCCTTCGATTTTGGAATATTGACCAAAGTTGTGTTTTTTTAAATGGAACACCCCGTATATTATTTTTTCATTGAATAGCTCTTTGTGAGCTGATTTCAATGATATAAGGTTTTATACCTTTACCTTCTATAGTTTCGGAGAAAAAAAAATTTATTCCGTTTTTCCATAAGAAACAATGAGCTAGAGAGAGATAAGTCATTAAATAAATTATGTGTTGCCTATTTATCATCCCCGATTTATAGTTCAAATTAAAAAAAATTAGCTGAGCTGACAAATTAAATTAAGAATTAAGACATTTGTAGCCGATTCATAGTTCAACTATCTCTTTCTAACTCATTGTTTCCTATGGAAAAAACGGAATTTTTTTTTTTTTTCCAAAATTATTGAAGGTAAAGGTATAAAACCTTATATCATCAAAATCAGCTTACAAAGAGTTATTTAATGAAAAAATAATATACGGGGTGTCCCATTTAAAAAAACAAAACTTTGGTCAATATTCCAAAATCGGAGGCATCTGGAGAAAAATTAGTCATGTCACTGGATTCTCCTTGAAAAACTGCCTATAGAAAGTATTTTTCGTTTTTGGATATCTTGAATAATAAGGAAATTAGAGAGTCTTTCAAAATCGGACAAAATTTGAAAAGTGCCCTGTATTTCCTAAACGCATCAAGTTAGCCGTGATTTGTCTTCGCCATTGTTATTTTCTCAAAAAAAGAGCTCGAGAATGTGCTCCCAGATTTTTGATATCTCTGCTGGTTTTCGGTATAGCCTATTTAAACATCGAAAATGGGCCACCCTGTACATAACTATTGTAATTAACTGTCCAAAAACTGGCTTTAGTAAATTTTTGACATTTCTAACGTTTTGTAGATAATTTAACGACCCTTTTATGTTTTATACAAAAAAAAAAAACGGCGGCCTGTAGGTATTTCATATAAAACCTATATAATAATTGCAATTATTTACATTAAACAAACAACACAAAATGGCGTAATAAAATGTTATGAATATCACTTTTGTTCTGATCAGCTTAAATATCAATCAAGTTGACGAACGCGGCTCAGGGACAGCATAATTAAACAAAAAAGAAAATAATAATTGTTAGACAGCTTTTGATCCTATTCGGTATTTCCATACATATTCAGTCATCGAGTTCTTTTTCTGCCGAGTTTTCACTGCGAACACAATACACAACTTTTGGTACTACCTGCAATTTATTTCTTGCTTGTCTTAGAAGATTTTTGTACCTCATGGCCTTGTTTCTCTCCCTAACATAATATTTCTCGTATCTGTCTAATTTTGCTTGCAGTTCAGCTATTATGTCTTTGCCCTTGGATATTTCCAGTAATAATGGTGAAACTAAAGCCCTTTTTTCTTCATTTGAGAGAGATGAAGATGACTTCTGAGTTGCTGGTGAATCTACTTCCAAATCTGCACTTGATGTAGATAGGGCTTCTATAGGGGGTAGTACAACTGAAGCCTCATCTGTAAAAACCTTCATTTTTAGTGAAAATATTTAGAAGAAAATTATCAGAAACTTATTACATATTTAACTCGATATTTAATTAAGGATTTCTAAGGTAGATTTGTTTATTGAACTGTAATGGGAATGCACCAAGTCACAACATTATAATTTTTCTGTAATAGCATGCACAACGCACAACATTTTCAATTTTAAGATTTGTTTCTAATAGACTGTAAGATAGGGACTGTTTAGTGGAGTCATTTTTTTTTGTCTGGCATTTTGAGGGCTAAATGTGACTAGTTAGCTGATGAGAATATGGGTGATTTTAATGCCTGCCGCCCGTTCGAAAATTTGTAGAAGAAAAAAATTGATTTACATGAAGAATTTTATCTTAATGATCTCAAATTTTCTAGCTTTTAAATAAAATATTGACATTGATAAATAATTCACCCATAAAACATACCAGATGCTTTTCAAAAGCTGAAAAAGTGGGGATGGGTGTCAACTTCCAAGAGAAAAGAAAAGAACTTTCCGCATTTACTTTTTGTCTGGCAATCCAGAGAATAGAAGGTTTTGTTGTGAAAATAACGCTGAAAAATCGCCAGACGGTAATCACAGTTCCAAATCAAGTTTTCCGACGAAACATTCTGTGGGCATTTGGAACAGGGGGCAGGCATTAAAACCACTTAGATTCTCATCAGCTAACTAGCCGCATTCAGCCCTCAAAATGCCAGACAAAAAAAAAATGACTTCACTAAACAGGCCCTATCTTAGGGTCTATAAGGTATGTTTGCAAAATGCTACCTACACCTACATAGGTAACAACAATGGTAGCAACACACTGTGACAGAACCAAAATAGAATAAAACATGATACAACATTAACTCATACAATGTTATTACCAGA